TATGTAAGCACAAATGAATCTTACTAGTTTATGTATTGTTAATTGCTGATATTTTGCCCACTGTTGGTATTAGGTATGTAATATTCCTGAATGAGCGGAGAATTAAAACGAAGGCCGAACGTCCAGATTTGCCTTTTACTGAAATAACCAAGATGCTGGCTGCTCAATGGTCTCAACTTTCTCAAGCAGGAAAGCAAGTAAGCCTTTTCATTATCATCTTATAGCATTAAAAGAGGCAGCGAACTAGAAAAGGTATATTATAGCAAGTATTGTATCTCTTGCAGAAATATATTAAAGAAGCAGAAAAGGATAAGCAAAGATATATGAAAGAACTGAAAGCCTATCAAGACTCTGAAGCCTATCAAGCTTTCTTAGAGAGAAGAGCAGTTCACAAAGTGAGGACCCTGTGTGGTAAGTTAGAGAACAACCATGTCAATTATTTTAAAGAAATGAAGGAATATCCCATTCATACCCTAACTAAAATTGCTAGGAAAAGAGTTCTGGGAGACCCCGGTTTTGAAAACATCTCACTGTTACTAGAGTTTAATTTTGTCAGACTATTAATTATAGTATCATAATTAAGCCTTAAAATTGAAGAGAAGCAGAGCTATATTGTGGATGTGTTGAAGGTCTCAGTTGAAGAAATATTTGGCAATGATTGTTTACGCAAGTATGTGTGATATTGTAGATTAATAAAAAGGTGCTTTAGTGTCTACATTTTATCTGATTTGCCTTTCAATTATTATTATTTGTCATCATGTTTAGGCTTACTGTCTGCCTCCTTGCTTGCCCTTTAAGCCTGAATGTACTTTTAGAAACTGACACTCCATGGAATAAAGTGAAGAAAGGAAATAAATATTGGATTGCTAAAACAGTGCACCTCTTCTTACAAGAGAGGGGAAAGAGGCTGAATTGTCAGCGATTGTCTTTTTTTACACCCTAAATTGCCCAGTTTGTGCCTATTCTTTTTCAATTATGCATTGCAGTGCTTACAGCAGATCCTGTAATTCAAGTTTAAAACTTCTTGACCCTGTATTTTCTAATTCAGATTAGAATTGTGGGTATTATAGCAGTAAATACCCATTGCTAAATAGAATTACCATACTTTAAGTTTCTATTGCCTGTGCAAAGAGCTCTTGAAAGAGACTGGCACTTTATTTTCATTATTGCTTGTATTGCATTGTACAGTAATTTTGGTAGCTATCTTTGTAGTTAACACAGCAAGCTTCTTTCTGCTGGGAGCGGTTCAGTACACTATTTCGGCAGTGATGTGACCTGAGCAATTAAAAAAAAAAAACTTTGTTAAAGGAATGTCATGCTATGTTTAAGATTTTGCTAGGGAGTTGAGAGAGAATCTTGGACACTTCCTTTCAAACCCTCTGGAGGAAGAAAATGATAGAGAGGGCAAGTAGCTGTTTATGAAGATTCAGAGAAGTGTCTTTAAAAAAAAATACACTTTTGAGTAGATCTTATGCTAGTTTGGTGTGCTTTTTCATTTTAATGTGCTTAAAAATCTAACCCCATTGAAGGAAACAAGTATTTTTCCTTTGGGAAAAGAAAACATTAAGAATTTTTTATCACATTATAAAATATAACGGATGGTCCCCTTAAGATTCCCACTAATATATTGTGGCAAAACCTGCGGACCACTAGACCAGTTATTAGTTGAAAGTTTTGTGTTTTTTTTCCCCAAAGTTGCTTAACTTGTTCTCTGTATTACAGTTAAAATAACAGAACTTGGTTTTTCCTTCAGGAACAATATCTATAGGAAGTAGATCTTAGAATGAAGCTCTTGCTTTGTCAACAATAGATGTAAGTACATTGAAACTGTATTTGAGGTGAGGGTGGGAGAGAGGAAGTTGATAAGTTTTAACTAATTAATGTCAGCTAGCTTATTTTAATAATGACATACAGTGTTGTACTCACACAAAAACTATTCTAAAAGAATGTTAACGTCACAAAGTCAAGTACTCAAAATTTAGGAAAGGCCAGAATTAAGATGGTCTTTGCAACCCTATTTTTACCTCCTTGTGTGCATGCCTTATGATTAGGGCTTCTGAATTTTAATTTTAACACTTCCAATATAAAAAAATAAAATTAAATTGGTGTTTATCCAATGAACAGCAGAAATGGCTATTTTTGTCTACAGTAGAACCTCAGAGTTATGAACACAAGAGTTGCAAACTGACTAGTCAACCAGACACCTCATTGGGAACCAGAAGTACACAGTCAGGCAGCAGAGACCAAAAAAAAAAAAAAAGCAAATACAATACTGTGTTAAACATAAACTACTAAAAAAATAAAGGGAAAGCAGCATTTTTCTTATGCATGGTAAAGTTTCAAAGCTGTATTAAGTCAATGTTCAGTTGTAAATTTTTGAAAGAACCACCATAATGTTTTGTTCAGAGTTATGAACAACCTCCATTCCCAAGGTGTTAGTAACTCTGAGGTTCTACTGTAATGACTTGTCTATGTGGATCAGTAATTGTTTATTACAGGGATGCAATTTCTAAAGTGCACTAATGTGTTGTGCATTAATTGTCCTGTGTAGACCCTGTTGGTGCACACTGAAGGTACATCTACACTGCACACTTCTTTTGGCAGTGTGTAGAGTACATCCACTACATGCTACCCTGGCACAGGT